CGTCGAAGCTTGGCATTCCCTGCAACAATATGCGTTCTCGAAGCTCACCTTCTGACAAGAAGGATTACATCCAGAAGCTCCTTGACGATGGCACCGGTCGTAAGGAATCGGTTGTTGTGTTCTGCGGTGACGGCACGAACGATGCCGTTGCTCTTGCGCGGGCTACGATCGGCGTCCACATGAACGAAGGTACGGATGTCGCGCAATCCGCAGCGGATGTGGTTCTTATGCGGCCTTCTCTGGCTGGCATTCCCACCATGATGAACGTCAGTGGGAAGGCTGTCAACCGCATCAAGTTCAATTTTACATGGAGCATCGTGTACAACACTTTTGCTGTTCTTCTCGCTGCGGGTGCCTTCGTGAATGCGAGAATTCCCCCGGAGTTTGCGGGGCTGGGAGAGTTGGTGAGTGTATTACCAGTTATTGCTGCTGCGGTGCTCCTGCGCTGGTCGAAGATCTAAGCAAAGAGCACTATTAATGCACGGGTAACAGCGGCTGAATTCCCGAAACTCTCATTAGCGTCCGAATGAGATCGTAGTTTTCTGACCATGGGCTGCGAGAGTCTCTGTCAATCGAGTTCGAATCTAAGTCGCAAAATGCTGAATTCCTGTCCTTATAGCTATCTAGTCTGCTTCCGTTTTGGACTCAAGGAAGCTTTGACATACTTTGTTCCATCTCCATATATCCTATTCGGTTAGGTGTAGTTGTCGACTATCACAATCGGCGAGGGGTCAGAGTAAATGATCCACACTGTATCGCATTCCAGCCAGCCAGCATGCTTAAGCAGATGAGTGTATTATATCACACTCAATGAATAACGAAGGATAGCGATCGAGACAAATTATGCACTCTATTCGTGAAACTCTTCACTCAAGATCTTCAATGTCGAGAGCGCCTTATAAATGACCTTTTTGTTCCCTTGTTCAAACCTTGTCAACACACCAGTCAAGAAGTCTCTTGTGTGTCTCCAACATGGAAGGCGAGCCTGGGCGCAACTGTATCTTAGGTGGTACGAGTCCTGCGATACCACGCGGCTTGGTGTCTTCACCGAGTTTGTTTGGTATCTTAATGGATCTCTGTTCATTTTTTTGAAACAAATTCTCTGCCTAGCAAGAATGTTGACCGTTAGGACGTCCGACTGGGGCTGCGTCTTTACTCTCTTGGCTTTGCCCCTTTGATGTTTGAATTGACTGATTCTGTCGCATATGGTGCCGAAGTGAGGTATAAGCGCAAAGGAAAACGAGTCCGAAGACCCCCACGATTACGCCAATTGTAATACCGGCAATGGCGCCACCACCAAGATTGGGACCTTTACCCTTACTACTTGCTGGGATAGGCAGTGCAAGAGATGCCATTTCAGCGAGGCCCTAGGAGGAGTGCGTCGGAACTAAAATAGTAGGGTATCTTGAATATTCTCAAATATAATTTTGAAGACCGGTGATAGTTGTTCTCCAATTTTAGCTTGGCAAATTATTAGCGTGTCGAGCCGCCCACGTCGTACAAAATATGTATCTATAGGGGGTTGAAGTATTTATTTTGGAATCTGAGATCATAAGTCGGGTGACCGCTAGTCAAAAAAGCCGAGGTTGACATCTCGGAGTCAGCATAAACAACCTGAACCGGGTAATGTCAATCTAACTAGTGTGCCAAGCTCCTGAAGTGGTAAACGTAAGCGATAGCCTATCAGCAATAGGGCATTAAGCATAGGAAATGTGCAAAGAAAGACGACCTGATGGTATAGAGATTCACAATCAATGTGGCATGATCAAAAAAGACGGGTAAAGGATAGCTCACACCCCATGTCTTCTTTTTGACTGCAATTTTTGCAGGAAATTCTTGATTTCCACAGGGGGAGACGTGCTAGAGTCATGTTGAGAGTGAGTAAAGTTGAGTTGGCCAAGGAACGTTGGCTGGCTGTCAAATCCCTCACGGCCTCTGAATTTGAGGCTTTGTGGTGCATTGGGAGCTACTCAACAAGCAACGACAGGCTCATGTTTCTTGTTTGATCATCTCATCTGTGAGCGACCCAACGTTGGATCAACAAAGATTGCCTACGATCTCATCCTTAGGACTGGTGACCTATTTTTTATTTACCTCGTTTCAGTGTTGGTTGTGTTGAGCGAACCTTGGAGCTTGGCTCTACATCGACTCAAAGTTTCTGAACGTATAAACATCATTTATACATTTTGTTTCGGTTTTCTTTGATTTTCTTGTTTTTATTCCATCTTTACCCCTTTAGTCTCTCAAAAAAGGCCTTCTTCGAGGATGGAATATATGTCGGGTTTCAGATTGTTGTGATATCAGCATTCATGCCTCCGGGTCCTGTGAGACGCTTATATCACATTGAGGATTCATGGGAATGGGCCAGCTAGAGCAGTAGTGGACCTTTCATCGTTATTAACAATTATGTACTCCTCTGAGGCCTCGCTTATTGTATCTTATCACCAAAATAGGTGGTGATACACTTGATATAGGGATTCAAACTTCGACAATCTCGTTAACTCGGATTAGACTGCGCCAAAAACCGCAGTTGGGGGCAAACCTTGCCCCCAAAACCCAAACCGCATTGGGTGCGGTTTCAAACCTCTCAAACCGCACCAAACGACAAACCATTGCGGTTCCCCAATGGGGCCCCAACAAAAACCATATTTGCATAAAATTGCATAAAGTTTATAAATAGCTCTTTAAAGTAGTCTAGAAATCGATATAAACCAATAATAAACCAAGTACGTGATTTAGCGCTTGAAGTTTGCCTTTTTTGACAACCTATTAGGGCCCCAAAAACCATTGCGGTTTGAACCTAAGAAACCACAAATCGCAGTGGTTTTTAGAACTAGTCCCAAAAACCGAACCAAGTGCGGTTCGGGTCGGTTCGATTTTGCGGTTTTGCGGTTTTTGGCGCACTCTGACTCGGATGCTTTCTGCAGCACAGCGTGTCTAATCGTACATCTCAATATGGGGGTGTAAAAGGTGGTGAAGATGATGTCGTTGAGGATAAAGGTGGAACCAAAGATATATCTTAACTAGAGATGCCTGCAAAACTGGTTACTGAGCCTACTTTACATTCTATGCGCTTGGTCCGGCGGCAAGTGACATGTTCTGGCTGTGGGGCAAAAGGTAATATATATTCCGAATGCCCTACACGTGTTGAATGGCCAAATCTGTGGCGTTATTGTGGTTTTATCAGTTGTTACACATTGAAGGGTTTCAAAATTTTGTTGGGGTCGCTCGCGCGACTGTGGATCACGTTAGACCTAGAGTCAAAACTCCAGTCCCGCACCCCACTTTTCCCTGCAGAGGCCTCAAAAATCGTTTCGGGGCATATTAGTGTATCACCCATATTTTGCGAAGAACTGATGAAATTGTCACCCGATCCCTAGCCTATCTCGTTTCCCTTGTGTTATCCGTCAAAAGGGATCATACTTGCACTCGCACACTACGTAAATCCCTGCTAATGCAGCGTTAGGGAGAAATCTGCCCGAATTCAGTTCGTCGCCCTGCATAACATCAATTCCATCACGCCGTGATAGTTAAATTAGAGAAGCTAGGCTCTTACAAATAGTCAGCCGAGGAAAAATTGTCTGCCGGAAAGCTTCTAGTTCCCGGGCAAAACCATCCCCCACCTAGAAAGTAGCGCATATAGCCAATGCGTCAGCAAAGAGCTGTATACGTGTCTATCTGAACATTAGAACCATGAAACATGACTTGAAGTTGAAGTATTTCTAAAGATAGCAGCTACCATATCTGCAATCTGCATTTGCATCACATATCCATCCTCCATGTCCACCAATTTTACATCGCCTCACTTCCCTCCAACCCAAACCTCAACCTCAGTTAATTCCCCTTCTAAAACCCAGGCTTCAGCATCCGATCCTCCTTCCCATAAACACTAACATCCTTAACAATGGTAATAAACTTGCGATGATTATATGTAAATTTTACTTCAGCCACAAAACTAGTCCTTTGTCACGGGCCTGTGGACTCTTCAGGTTCCAAGAGAAATGTATGTTTCCTCTGCAGGTTGCTATGTATTTACTAGTCAAACGCATGTTTCAGGAAACATACCTCCGTCATTAGCGTCAGGGCGGGTACCTAGATAACATGCTGCCTATTTCATCTATGTGGAATGTGACTTCTTTTGATTTCCTTCTTTCAATACAAACAAGTTGAATATCTTCACCTGAATAATATTCACAGACTTCTGTTCTGTTCCGCAAGGGTACATTTGTCCTTGAGTTGACTAATTGACGACCTGATATCAGGCCCTTGCTATTCTGTGGGTCGGTCCCCTGTCAGCAAGTCCCCACACCCCACACCGCACGTCTGGAGACGAGGAAACTTCTGAGTCATCATACATCATTCCGCGCAAAGCTGCAGAAGTTTTCTGTTGCTCTAATGGCTTACATATTGAAATAATAATATTAGTTGTTTTGGTCGAATTAGAACCAATACATGCACTAATTATTTACTATACTTAGATATTTATACCCTGGGCAAGATAATCGTTAATTTGAATCCATACTAGAAAATCATGATTGGTCTCCACCGGATCAGCCGGACCGAAAAGCATTCGGCTCCCCACTTGGAGGATCTGCGGTTTGATTACCCAAAATAATGCGGGGGAATTCCGGAAAACGGCATAGATCTGCGTCACATAACAATAGCCTGAAGCGGACCAGCCATCTATACTGAGACATTTTGGCTTCGCCCTGATTTCAACCGTTTCAGGCTAATTAAACATTGTTCATCTTCCCGGTCAAACTTGACATGTGTTCCTTGATACACTTGTTTTGACACTAGGTCAGATTCTGTCCCCGGACCAGAGGAATACGCCCCTTGCCCCAATTATGGAGCTTTGCGGAAACAAGGAACGGTGTTGGACTCCTAAGTCTGGTTGAATATTTAAATAATCCCCTCAGTTCCCCAAGAAATGCATTCAATTCACCACAGAACCAACATTGCGATCGCATATAGCATCCTTTGAATTTTCTTCGAGAAAAATGCTTTTTGTTCTTATCGCGCTTACTATACTTGTCAGCAGCAGTCTAGCTACTCCACTGAACGCTGACCATGAGAAGCGTCAAAGCTGCCCTAACGTACATGTCTTCGGTGCTCGCGGGACCACTGTGCCTCCAGGGTACGGCTTAACCATCACAATCGTCAATGAGATTCTAAGTGCCTATCCTGGCTCAACATCCGAGGCAATAAGTTATCCTGCATGCGGTGGACAATCCTCCTGCGGAGGCGCTAGCTATTCTAGCTCAGTTTCTCAAGGCATTCAGGCTGTTGCGTCGGCTGTGAATACATATAACTCGAAATGCCCTCAGACAAAGCTTGTCTTAGTTGGATACTCCCAGGTTAGCTATTAGAATTGCCACTTACATTTACACTAAAACTCTCTAACTTAATCTAATCTCTATTATAGGGTGGTGAAATTATAGACGCGGCTCTATGCGGCGGTGGTGTCCCCAATCAGGGATACACTAACACTGCGATCCCGTTGTCTTCTTCGGCCGTGAATATGGTGAAGGCAGCCATATTTATGGGTGATCCACTGTTCAAGACTGGCTTATCGTACAATTTTGGAACGTGCACTGCTGGAGGTGTAAGTCTTTTGCCCCTTTCCTACCCACTCTTAAGTGTTAGTCTTAATGATGAAAATTTCAGTTCGACGCCCGCCCGGCCGGCTTCTCATGCCCGTCAGCCAGTAATATACAGTCGTATTGTGACGCTGGTGATCCGTATTGCTGCAATGGCAATAACGCCGCAACTCACGCGGGTTATATAACCGAGTACGGATCGCGGGCGCTGACTTTCATCAAAGACAAGTTGTCCTAGGGTGTAACACAGAAGGATAAATTATATTCTCTCACAGAATGATCCAGCATAGCTTATTGCCAGCACCATAATGCCGAGGATCTTGTGATTTGAGGCTGGTGCAGATCAGGCACCAAGCCGTACCATTAGAATTAATCTCGAGGTGTCTTATACGAAGAATAAAGTTGATTTACAATCAACTTGATCTTCCCTTTTTGTATACATAGCCTCATTTATTCCCTCTAGTTCAGTATAACCAATTCATACCGAAGTACAACAGGTTATGAGCCCTAAGCTTCTAGCTTTTCATTTAAACGTTCCCGATTAAGCCTCCTAATTTGAATGCTTGTGTAATCTCATTTGATCTTGCGTCAAATTTTTTATGTGTTCTTTTTGAACCCTCTTGATTTCACCGTGCAATCTTCATAAAATTCTGTTTAAATGTTATTATTCAGACGCTTGTAGCCTTTTGGTTGAAAAATTCTGATTTAAACCATTGTGAGTTCTTATTTCAACGTACTTTGATTAAGAGATCTGCTCTGAAGGCTTGATTTAATCGTGTTTGAAAGTTCTTCTTAGACAAAACTGGAGGACGTTTTTGGTTAAGACACGGCCAAGGATAGTAGGCCCGTTTGGAGACACTTGGTAGCGTAACTTGTGAGGATCGGCACTATATAAGCATCAAATTGAGTACTATGGAGCCATTTTGCTTTTTAAGAACAGTAGTATCAATTTCATATTCTCCTACCTAGCTGTAGTCTCTGCTGCTTAAATATCTACCGGAACTTTTCAAAAAGTACGTAGAACTCGATGAGAGGCTCTATACCTAATGTGGAGTGGAATACGGAGGGGTGACTGATAAGTGGGGTCTGGGAGAATTTGATTGTTTGTCGTCTTCGATATACTCTTTCTTCAATAAGCCGACCTCGACGCTTCTGGCAGCCTGGTTTTGAAGACTCACTCGAAGGCAATTTCTTTACCAACGAGAATCTTCATCAAAACGCTTCAATTCAAGCGTTTAGATATTTTCATTGAAACTTCGTGGTAAGAATGTTCTGATTTAAATGCTTCAACGTTATTATTTAATCTAGTTTGGTAAACCCTGATTTGTTCAAATGTGATTTGTTTAACCGTTCTTGTTCAAAGCTTCCTCGGTTTGGCCTATCTCCTTGTACGAATTGCTCCGGTTGTCATAAACGCTATTGTTATCAATGATCTCTTCATCCTCAGTCTTGGTTCTCAAATGTGTCTATCACTCGTCACTATTCTGTAGCATCTTCAAAGCTGCTTCTTCATTAAAAGTAAAATTTGTCAAGTGATATTTCCATCCAAGGACCCTAGGCCACGGGCTCAGGATCCTGGTTGACAATCTTGGAAATTCCAAAGTCTTGCATAGGTGCATGCCTAGGTGATAATTTAGGAATATGCCTTTCTTGAATTGGGGAACTCTACCGAGCATCGACCCCGGGAACATCAAAGCGATATATAGTATATACCTAGGTATTAAGGGGCACTTATCCCAAGCTCTCTATATCTATGGAAACTAGAGAATAGATAACCCACGATGCTAACTTCACCGATCTTTTCCTCATAATATACTACAGCCCTAGGGCTTATCCACGTGTGCGATAAGTATCTTGGTTTCTCATGCCAGGTGTCGATAAGGTTCAACAGGATCAAGTTTTATGCCAGTATCAAGACTAGATATATGTAACATCGATTGGCGGACTCGCGTGATAACTCCGGGGATCATATTGACGTCCTCGAACCAGGGAGGGTAGGAAGAGTCCGAGCAGCTCGAGTTGTAGGCGACGGAGGCTCGTGAGACGAAGCTCGTCAAGGACCATCCTTTTATGCTATCGATGACATGTGCCTGTGGTTCAATGATGAAAAGTGACTTCAAATGAAGTGTAGAAACTACTGTCTGCTCCGAACATCAATAATCATTTTACAAGTTTAAGACTCGAGATAGACATGAGCCCAGAGTGAAAATTAACATGAATTAAACAGGTTTGCCAATTTTGAGTAAGTAATGAAGCAAAAGCACTTTTCCATCTGCAATCCTCAATCATACATGTCCTTGAATGAAGAGTCCTCCAGACCCTTCATCCGTTATTTGGAATCCAATATTGAATTCGGATTGAAATCAACCGGCAATTATGTGCAATTCTGTGCTATTGGTGCCTGTGTTGCGTTTCTTGATGGCAACAAGATCGGGGTGTCCATTCCGGTCCCAATCGGTCATCGCAAAGTCGAAAGTTTTGTCGGAGTTGTGAAGGGCCGTACTTGTTTGTGCTAAGAGACTCTGATAGTTTGAAACTCCGGAAAAGATAAGTGTTTCTGTGCTGTTTGTTCCAGTGTTGGTCTTTTCAATGACTATAAGATCAGAGCGGCCGTCGCCGTTCCAGTCGGCCATCGCAAAGGCAAATGTTTCATCTGTGTTGTGAAGGGCGGTACTAGTTTGTAAGATGAAGCTCTGAAAGTTTGACGCGCTAGAAAGAATGTGTATCTCAGTGCTATTTGTACCAGTGTTGCTCTTCTTAATAGCGACCAAGTCTAGACGGCCGTCGCCGTTCTAGTTAGTTATCGCAAAGTCAAAGGTCTCATCTATGTTGTGAAGGGCGGTACCAGTATGTAAGATAAAGCTCTGAAAGTTCGACGCGCCAGAAAGAATATGTATCTCAGTGCTATTTGTACCAGTGTTGCTCTTCTTGATAGCGACCAAGTCTGGACGGCCGTCGCCGTTCCAGTCAGTCATCGCAAAGTCAAAGGTCTCATCTGTGTTGTGAAGGGCGGTACCAGTATGTAAGATGAAGTTCTGAAAATTCGATCCTGCCAGCGAGGCCCTGGGCCCAGATAGAGTTGCATCCATCCGGGCGACTTGACCTTTGGTAAACATGACCGTCGTAGCATCGTCAGAGTAGTCCATATAGTTCATGAAAAGATCACCATTAGGGCCATTCCTACATGTGATATGTGGGAACGCCGGTCCTCCACGGTTCGGGATAGCCTGGTTTGGGGTGTCATCGCAAAGGTCTGTACCGGAACAGAGTAATCCAGCGCCCCACCCATCGTCGTCCCCCCATATGTGTAAAAGGTTAAGCCAATGGCCGATTTCATGGGAAGCAGTACGACCTAAGTCGAACGGAGAAGTCGCTGTTCCCCCCTTTCCGAAGGCAGTATGGGAGATTACTACCCCGTCGGTCGTTGCTGAGAGTCCCAGAAATTGAGCGAATCCGAGCAAAGATTGAAGGCCACCTTGCTTACAAACCCATATGTTGAGGTAACGGTCGCTCGGCCACCCATCTGTACCGCCCTGGGCTGTAAATTTCATCCTTTGATCCAGTGGGTCGGTAGCGCTGTTGTGATCGAACGATATAATTGCCGTCTGAGTACGTGTTACCCCGACCGTTGATTTGCCTTCTGGATCTCGTTTCGCTAGGAAGAATCTGATGAGAGGATTGCCCACCAACGGTCTAAATGCGGCTGGCACCTTGCTCAAGTCAGAATTTGCTGCGTTGAAGTCATCATTAAGAACGCTGATCTGACTGTCGATTTGCGCCTGACTGATGTTCTGTTCTGGTTTGTTCCATACAACATGGACGACAAAAGGAATTTGCGCGACTGCTGTCCGCAAAGAAGGTGACTCGCGGGCAACAAGGTTGAACTGCTCCACAAACTGTCGGGCTGATTTGTATCCGGGAACCGTAGCCAGCAGATGCTGGTGGAGTAGTGATGTTCCACACTAGTTGTGAATGGGCTGCTCCGTGACTTCAGATAACACTACATGTGGGTCGGACATGTTGTTATGGGAGTTTTCTTAAGTAGGTTAGAGCTTGGTATTGAAAGATTTAAAGTGAAGCAGCGTTCACTGCAAGCCTTGTAGTTTCAGACAAGCGGTGGAATAAATTGTGAGAAAGGCCTGGACTCGAGCAGCCACTGTTGTTTAGCTTTAGCTTTATACATTTCACAACTCATTTATTATCGTAGAACAACTCTAGGTGTCATGTTTACGTAGAATGGGCTTAGAATTTAGTAGTACAAAGTGTTAGACATAACAGAATAATAATCTCAGGTGGTCGAGACAAACCATATGGCTAGCTTCTGGATTTATGACCTAATACATTTGACACGGGCAAATCTACTACTGCTAGAAGCAATGCGCCACCAAGACCCAAGGTCTTGGTTGCAGAGGGATGATGGCTCCTATTTAATTGTGACACGTGGTTGGTCAGAAGACTGGTGTAATTGATCACCAGGCGTGGCCACCCTATGATCACATAAGGTCAAACGTAAAGCCGTTCGTTGGAGGTTCATAGCGTTGGCAACCACAAGTAGGCCAATACTAACAGGCTAACATACCAATGGTATATTGTGGCTGAAGTACTATATATGGCTATATGGCTTGCCATAAATCAAGGCTCTTGACATGTGAAGCTAGAGGCTCTAATCCCAAGATACATTTGGGAATGCACTATCATAAAGTGATCGATCAGTGGTGGAAGCTTACCGCTATAACCGCATGGTTTCGGCAGGCTCCTTCAGAGTACAGGGATTGTTATGTTAAATTCCTAGTGTGTTAGGATAAAACTCCCAGTCAACCTCAGGATACGGCGTATTGACTAGTACTCGACATGTTCAATTAAATAAGTGTTGATTGAAATACGAGGATCCGTTGAGAGATCACCAGGGGTAATCATACGATGTGTTAAGACACTGTACTTCCCAGTCAATCCGACTTCAGGACAAATTATATAGGGAAATGGGCTGACAATGAATACGCCAATCTCGTAGGATCCACAGTGGTATCCTAAAGTCGACAGTAGCCTCCCGTCATAATCAACCAGCCGTACCGTGCTTCCAGGTCCCTTGGTACTAGCCGATACGCATCGCCTTAAAGATCGACATAAATCTGTATTATTACTTCATAGTGGGTCCCATAAACCTCACTACGTGGTAATGTGGTTCCATTTTATCCTCAATCAACTGATCTACGTGGCTAGATACAAAGTGGACCTACTTCCTCGGTGTTAGGTAATGAATTTCTAAGACGCTCAAGAAAAATGTGTACGAAAGATTTCTGACTTAGGTCCTTGGCACATCCTGCCCAATCATTTGTAGTATCGTCCACCAAGGCATGGTTGTAAAGTAATACTATCCTGATGAACACATAATGACATGACAAAAGTATGGTGTACTGTTCGAGAATCCTAGCGCTATTAAGATTAACACTGATACGTCACCTAGATGTGGAAGAAAGAGTAGACTTTGATTGCAACACGTAGCCGATTACACTTATTCTGGGTCATCTGCGGCACGTCAGTATAGTTTGACTTTAAGCTATTACCCATTTAATACCGATTGGTTACATACAAGTAGACCTTGACATTTCCCATGGGAGTTATGGGAATTCCCATGGGACTGTAAACAATGCAAACATTAGCTATCTCGTGACTTGTATAAATAATGCATTTCTTGCGGTTCCGAACGGTATTTTATTTACAATAGCTTTTTTCTAAATTAAAGATTGAAATGGGGATGGCACGATGGCAGTCTGACATAGCAGACGGGTCGATACTAATGAAGAGATCACACAACCACTCCCATGGCCTGAAGGCGTAGAGAGCGGTCCCTGAAGGTGTAAATCGTACCGAACCTGATGCTATATCATGAATCAAGAAGTTTTGCGAGTAACTGTAGTCATATTGAGGTTGTTGGATCATGCTCCTCTCTCTCTGTAGGAGAAGACTGCATGTCTCTTGAGGCATCATAGATGCCTCAGGCCATTAAAATACTACTGTCACGGGATTCACCACTACAAGATATACTAAATAATCACAAAACTATGGTCAAAATATATCAAAAGTAATAAATATTTGTTAGTCTCAATACTCGCTAAAACACCTTTAAATTACCGTATTTTATTATAATAACTCAGCAATTTATCCATTATTATTATGAAAATAATGTATAGATGGGAAATTTTGTTAGTCCCATGGGAGTCCCACGGGAATTCCCATGGCGGGACCAATTTTTTTTTTTACTCCCATGGGAGTGGGTCCACGGGACTAGACCTCTGTAGGAACTCCCATGGGACTAAGTCCCATGGGAAATGTCAAGGTCTACATACAAGCGGAGTGTGACTTGGCCGAGGAGGGGAACCGCGGATGGCGAAACCACGGACGAATTAAGCACAAGGTTGCGGGCTCGGATGATCGACATGCGTGATATGACGTTGACGCCACCCGAACTTGGCGGCGGTCATCCGCTTTAGACGATAAAACTTTAATTAACTTGAGGGCAAATCAGGTTTAGTACTCTATCCCTTTGTGTTAGCAATTTCGTAGTTAAAGTTCCCCACCGCAACTGAATCAGTAAGCCCAAGAACATTGGTTGGCTGCTGTTAGAGGTACGGAGCCCTCTGTTACGAATACGCAAATATGCGGGAGTGAAGACCCAATTCAGAATGCCGGTCCCCATCGACGCTGAAAGCACCTGACGGTTGTTTTATCTTGAATTGTGCGCAATGTGTAAGTGGCCGTTCTCTTTGTTTGTGGTGCAGTGCCGTTTTGAATACAGTCCGGTCGGAGAGCCGCTGACTCTGCACAAAAGACCTTGCGATTTGCCTATCGCGTCCATCTGTCAGGACCCTCGACTACTTATGTGTCAACAATACCCTACGAATACTGCATGAAACCGGAGATACTATAGATCCGATGCCAAGGAATTAGTCATTATACTAGGCATAAATAGCTTCGTAATAGGGGTAATACAACTCAGAGCCATTGACATCTCCAATTGGTCAGGGAAAATACAGGAAGTCCGCTGGATTCGACAACCCTACTACGAAAAAGTGGGCAGAATAGGGGAAGGCGGTGTCTTTATATACCACATTTGGCGGGCGGTGGGACCAATGACCGGCCGTTCTGCCGACAGCAGTAGACCTCGGCAAGGACCGGGTCCGGTCCCAACTTTGAGGACCGGGACCGGACCATGCGGTCTTTGGTCTTTTTTCAAAGTAGTCAGGACCGCACCACGGTCCCCCGTGGTCCTTTGCGGTCCCCTATGCGGTCCCCCGCGAATTCATAATTATGCCAAGACCTTCCTTGTTTGACCGTATAAACTGATTATTCAGCCACGTTTTTTACTGTTATTTAACACTGTTTTGGTATCTACACAAATTTTGATAATGAATCAGGTCTAACAATCAATAAAATAGTTGAAACTACCTTGTATCTGATTTCATGAAGCTTGGTATTAAGTTAATTACCAATGAAATTTCAATTTCGGACTGTTGTGGTTGATATTTTAGAATTTACTTCTGATCATGCAAAGATATATATATTTTCTACACAGCAGCACTTATACGCTTAGGAAGAGTTATGACTATTAATATCCCTAGCCTAGATTTCTGACGGCCGTCAGAATTTAAGCCTATCTATTGCCTGGAAACTGTTGATATCCCCACTAGATTTCTGACGGCCGTCAGAATTTGAGCCTATCTATTGCCTAGAAACTGTTAATATTCCTACTAGATATCTAATAGCTATCATTATTTAGGCCGATTAATACGCGTTGGATATAGATTATTTGCAGGATCTAATAAGTTCTACCGGTTCTTGCGGTCTTTTGGCGGTCCGTTAGCGGTACTTATACGGTCTCTATACGGTCCTCGTGGTCTTTTGGCGGTCCTTGCGGTCTTTTGGCGGTCTATTGGCGGTCCTTATGCGGTCCTTACGGTCTTTATACGGTCCCCGCGGTCTAAGACCGCATAGATCTAAGTAGAGTGGGTCTTATCAGCTAATTACGGTCTATAATCTAGTCTATTCTATCTAAAATCATCTATCTATTATTTTCTTGAATATGAATACCCCTTAGGATTCTTTTGCCTAGATAAAAGATAATAGTATGTCTTAACCATCACTCTAAAGCCACACTACCCACTATCTATTAATTATTCATCAATATATCATAGAGCCACGTATCCCAATTCTCGGATAATTATCCCTTATCTATCTTTAAGGACAACCTAGTTGATACACTCTCTTTCCTTATATCTAATAAGCCATTTAACCTAGACGGAGGCGTAACACTAATATCTACTCCTAGTATGGCCTTCACACGACCGGTAGTACCTATCCCGATTCCATGAACTCTTAAGCGTGTTGGTCTATTTGGCAAGAAGAACTATATCCTTTGGACAGAGATATTTAACGAAGATTTTGTCGCTTGGTAGCTGAAAACCGAGTATGGAAGTGCAACAAAACGGAATATCTTTGATAGTAAACGGCTAGCAGGCTCTTAGGAACACTTCTACTAGGTTACTGCAATCTCTGATAGATCCCCTAAGGTGATATATAAGCAGTGTGATTATATCCTTGCTTATCCTATAGACCGGCACTAGGGAATATCTACTATAAATAGGCATTTCTCACAAGCCGCTACTTGTCAAAAGGGAAGGAGTAAGACACAAGATATTAGAGAGATGATCTCGAATAGGGTATAAATACTATCTACAAGGCTTACTTTATACTAACTTATATAGTTCTCTATAGACAAATCTTCCCTCCCGCAAACAGGGGTTTTCACCGGGAGCTTGGATAGATAGGTTAACCACCTTTATTGTTGCTCTACGCCTACCATTCTAGCTTATTGAGCACCCTGAATTTCGCGCCCTTATCGAAATAGCTTCCTCTGCCCTATCTATCCCTGAAATACCTAGTGCTAGGACTATCCGTCGGTATCTTCAGGAGACAGTCAAGGAACGTCAGGATTCTCTGCTTCAAACCCTCCTAGAGGGCG